AGGGCTTTCATACTTCACATATGTAATCCTTGTGACAAGACCTTCCTTGGATACCAACCATTTTGACCCTTTGACCTTGACATAGTTTGACCTACTTTTGAAAAACTTTAACCTTGGCCATAACTTTCGAATGGTTGGTGCTAGGGCTTTCATACTTTACATATGTAATCCTTGTGACAAGACCTTTCTTTGGATACCAACAACTTTGACCTTGACCTTGATGTTTTACTTACTTTAAAAAAACTTTAACCTTCGCCATAACTTTTGAATAGTTGCAGCTAGGGCTTTCAAATTTGACATTTTTTTATTTTTTGGCCTGGATTTTGACTTGCAGAAACTTTAACCTTCGCCATAAGCTGCCATACGGGGGCATCAGTGTTTCACAAACACATCTTGTTGTTTTTGATTTGAAGCAAGAAAGATATGTAAGTAAGAAAATCATTAATTATAGTGATCTGTGTAACATTTACATCACATATGAACGCTTTGTCAGAATGAATTGTGTTTTAGGAATATATTAAAGAATCGTATCAGAAATTTAAAAAGGCAATGAGCGAACCATCTCCTTCCTTTTTCACTAAATCGGAGGAGATACTCTGTAAAAGAAAGACTACATGAACAATATGTTATGGTTCCAGAGTACAAGGATATTGTAACAATATCGTCATTGTTTGCAAGGCTCATTATTAAAACTGTATCTTAGAAGAACTTGGTTTTAATTCTACGTCTTGAAATCCAACTTATACTCACAGTTCACTTTCTAGGAATGAAATTCTTCAAGATCACATCTGAGTGTTTATTCCTTTTAACATTCCAGTCAACCAAGGTGAGTTCGATCTTCTATACTTATGCTGGATTCCTAAACTTCATAAAACTCCTTACAAAGAGGGATGAATTGCCGGATCCAGCAAATGCTCTACCAAGCCCCTATCTTTACTTCTTACAAAAAATAGTACTGCTGTATAGAAGAAACATATTCTAGAAGTGGTGTAAATCAGATGTGGATTCTCAAAAATTCCAATGAACTTTTAGAAAATTTAAGATCGCCAAATTTTACAAATATATAGAATGTACAACCAGGACGAGGACGTAGAAATTATGGTGAATTTGTAGTGTACTTAAATGGATTATCCCACCAGAATTCCAAGTATGAAGTTTTGTAAGAGATCTGAAAATAAACAGAATATTCAAAATTTTCTGAAGACTTTCAGATAAGTCGATAAGCAATAACATGCTTTGAATACGATCAATTTTTAAGCCGAGGCAAGCTACTGGCAAATAAGTTAATGTTACAAAGATTTCAACAACCCCATTTAAAGTCAGCTTTTCGCATATTCTACAGTCGTTATAATGACCTTATTGGTAAATACAACCTCTTTTTGGGTCGAATTTTGTCTGACATTTTTCAAACCATTTGTTAGGTCACTGCTTTCATACTAAATTTGACTATGGAGTACTCCATCTGCCAGATCAATACATAGGGCTCAAGGCAGGTGTGACCGGTCGACAGGGTATGCTTACTCCACCTAAGCACCTGGTCCCACTTCTGGTGTTTCCAGGGTTCCGTATTTTTGCCCTGATCACGTTCGTTTTGTTATCTTCATCTTTACATCTGTATCATAACAACAATACGTATACTTATTTACATCATTGAAAAAAGATTATTGCATTTAAAAAAAAATAATATAGGATAAGGGCTTCGATCCTGGGTCTTCTCACATTATAGTCGGAATTCGTACTCACTATGCTACCAAGATTAAACAACGATGCCAAATAATTGGACTGCTCAGTTATTGTCCGTCAGGTGCTGTGTATGTATATTTTATATAACTTTATATTTAACTCTTACAAATTACAACAAATCGTTAGACGGAACATTACGTAGTCGTATAAAACAAAGGCCTAACAATTGGTATAAAACATGTCAGCCAAAATACGACTCAATGATAGGTTATATTTGCTAACAAGGTCATTATAACGACCAAAGAATTTACGGAATACTGACTTTAAACGAGGTTGTTAAAATTCTGTAACATCTACTTTTTATCTGTCAGTAACTTGCCTCGGTTTAAAAATTGATCATACTCGGAGCATGCTCTTGAGTATCGAATAAGTTGGGAAATGTAAACACAATATGCGGGTGTTAGTGGAATATTACTACATAAATAAGGAAAGTTGACGAAGGAAAAGATAAAGTAATTTCGTTTGTTATACAATATCGTTTTATAGTTGGCCGTTATCGGCTATAGTCAGTAAAACATCCAAATATGAAACAGATGTGTCAGACTCTGTGGTGTCTTTTATTTCAAATTCACTGAGATATATCGAGTCAACATATGAATGAAAGTAACCATTGTTAATTGATAAAACGTCGTCGATATATCTAAATGTTGAGTTGAAGGCCACAGAAAGAGTTTTTTTTTCTCACGAAGAAGTTTTTGAATAAATTCTGCTTCAAAGGAATATAAAAACAGGTCGGCTAATTAAGGAGCACAATTAATGCCCATCGAAATTCCAGCAGATTGTTGGAGAACCTGGTCTCCAAAGACTACATAAATGTTGTCAATGAGGAACTACAGCATCTTTTTAATATCAACTTCAGAGTACTTTCGTGTAAAATCAGAATGATTTTTAACGAAGTAATTTTGTAGTTGAACAATAACAAAATATGAAAATATTTAGAGTTCAATTTTTATTGAGGAAGCAGTTGCCTATGATATCAAAAAGCCTAGTTTTTAATTTATCGTGAGAAATGGTTTTAGAAAGCGTAGAAAAGTCATGTGTATTGCTGTTTAAAAAGTTTTGAGATTTTAATTTTCTGAAAGTTCTCTGAATTTTTTTAGAATCCACATTTGATTTACACCACTTCTTTAATATGTTGTAGAACAATATTAATACATCTGAAGTTTCTCCTTCACAGCAGTTAATATTTTGGTGAGGAGTATGGTTGAGATTTAGTTCAACTTTTACTGGACCATACAATGTATCATCGACGGAATTCATAATGGAAATGAAGTTCTATTGCTATGTGAAAGAGACAGTGAAAAAAAGAGAGAGTTCTCAAAAATTTAAGTGTACCTCTATAAGTGAAAAGAAACGACTGAAAAACAATTGAAATATAATGCCATGCAATGTGCTCTCAGTTGACTTAATGATCACTGAAAGGTCACTTCAACGCTTCTTTCAATTGCCATTCAATTTTTATTAGTTGGCTTAGAGTTGTAATAATTTCATCCTGTGATAATTCGTGAGATAAGTATTCAACTATATCGTATTCAATTTTGTTGAAATCTTCGCCCCTTTGGCCAGCAACAGAAGAACAAAGTTTCGTATAGAAATACAGAGACCCGCAGGAAAAGATACAATTTGTATGAATTAAGCCTAAATGTAATATGTATTAGGATTGCTGAAATCTTTGACTAATTTGATGGTCTCAAAAAGGTTTTTCAGTTTTGTTAATTTTCATTTGTCAGGAAGAGAAAGGTGACTCGGGTGAGAGTTGTGGCCCTTGGGCTTCTTGTTGTTTCATTATTTAGCAGATGTTTTCTACATTCAAACATGCATTCCCTGTGTTATTCATTACCTGAATTATTTTTTGAGATAGATAAAGGACAAGAATAATTGATTTAATTAAATTCTCTGAAGAAAGACCAAGAGGACACACAGCTGGGGATGTATTTCAGAGTCTTTATATTCCAATATTTATGGTTAATCTGTGATGTCTATGACAGTTTTAATAATCCTTTGGTTTGATTTATTTGTTGTTGTATTGTATACTCTGACGAGATCATCTGTTCAGAGAACTACTGGTTATTCCGGCATACTCTTCGCAGTCTCTCTCCTGAATATAAACAGAAAAACACGCATACTCGCAAATCTTTTTAAACAAAGAAATAAGGAATATAATTCATCAAAATATTTAATTATATTCCACAGGCAAGGCCACGTGAACGCACATGTACCAGAGTCCTCATAAATAAACTCGGTAAGAATTTAAGGTGGATCGTGTTACACCAAAATTTTATTTAATGGATGTTTAAGACACATCATTTGAAACACGGTTTCAGCATGGAAAGATTGATATAACCTCCTAATTATTTTATATGAATTTTTTTTTTGTATTTTTCCTCCCAAAAAATGTAAAAAGTGTTTTATTTGCAAAGAGGATGGTTAGGAGTTTAAAATTTGCTGTTAATAAATGCACTATCTAAATATTTCATGAAACATGTCAAGAAGAGTCGGAGAGACTTTTGAATTTTTTTTAATAAAAATAATTTATGAATATAAAAGTTATAATGTGTTAATATTTTTAAACCTACGGATAAAATTTCCAAGAAACAAGTTACAGATAGAAAAGAAATATGATGAAATTATATTTCATTAAGAAATTGAATCGAAATTGCGAAATTTAAGAAAAATGCTAATTTTCAGATTTAGACCAATCCCGATCGCTGATAATCATACTTAGAAGAATAATGTACGAAACGCTCTAGATAATGACCTCAGCCATATGTTTTTGTGTCGCCTGCAGAGCAGAGCGACACTTAGGGATCACTTTATCCGGCGTCTGTCTACACAGGGAAAAGTGGCTCGCATGATTTTCATGCGTTTGCCTTTTTGCATGAAATTTATGCGAAAATCATACAAAAATCATGCGAAAAGTCCCACATGCGAATTTCATGCGAATGTTATCACACAAATTTCATGCGAAATTCATGCGATTTTCATGCGACTAAAATTTCGCATGATATCCATGCAAATTCCACTTTGTCTGTTTTTCGTGTGAAAATCGTGCGTTATTCACAAGAATATTATGCAATATTAATACCATATGAGGAAAAGCAATGAACAAAAAAATTTAACATTTCAATGTTTATTTAGATGCATCTATCACAGTGAGTGGTAAAAAATTGCCAGTCTCTGATGTTCCTAATATCATATTGTTTGGATGCTCCTTATGAATCCATTTACATTAATGATGGCTGTGTTTAAAGGCAGTCTTTCAGTCTTTTGTCCTGACAAGCATTTCCTACAAAGAAATTAAATCATAAAAATTTTTATTAACTACCCATACTGATATTCCAATTGTTTCAGTCAAAGGGGCTAACTCCTATAATTACTGAATAGGATCTGTCATTACATACAATAAATTCCATGTTATCACCTGAAAGGTCCATGTTTTGTCAACTTGTTTATGTTAAACTGCACTGGTATTTCATGTTTTGAGCAAAACAGAAGACCCTGTGTTTTGTACATTAATAACTGCACAATAGAGGCATAATTATTTTTTTATGTCAGACATCAGAACATGTTATTGACCATGCAACTCTCTATATAAGTAGTGATTTCCCTAAGAACCAGCTACCGGCCAAATTAATCGCTTCAATTGATAAAAATGCCGCTTTGAAATAAAAAAATACAATAAAATAAAATTTAATTGTTGTAAGGTCCACAGAGATTTGTCATAAACATCAACCCAAAGCCAGATACAATTGATCTCTAATGCTTTACTTTGAAATAAAGAGAAAACACTGTATAAGGTTGTTATTGGAACCTATTGTCCAAATTAGATATAATAGTCCATTTTAGTTATGATATTCCAACTGGATTTTTGAGTTTTACAGACATTATAATGCTGAAAAGATGGATTTTTTTTAATCTGCATAAAATAATTAGAATATATCAAATGCAACAGTTTAATTATTACAAGGAATTTTTTTCATTCATAACCCTCACATTTGTGAGATTAATCCCCAAGAAAATTGGATCTTTTGTGGGACCTGCGTCCTAAAATATTTTGTGTGATACACTGTAAAAGTCGTGTTTACAAGTCTCTGCACATGAACAACACAATTAAAAATCACTTTTAATGTTAATTACTTACTCAAATTTAGTAAAGCCTTCAAATAAATGTCGCTTAGCATAAAAAATGCATAACTTCATTATGACTTCGATGAAACGGAACCATTCGATTCACCTGGTCGTGTTACGTTGAACTGTTGAACCTGAAACGAAAACGAGATCCGAATTTACTCTGAAAATTTTCGTTGCAAAATGAATAACAATAAGAATCTACATTTTAAACACAAAATATGACAAACGATTAAGAGTACATACATATTCACCGTCGTTTCAAGGGATTAGAGCACATAAATCCCAAAGGAAACTCTGGAACAAGCCACAGGAGGGTACACTCGTTTTTTTTTTCAGTAACAGGAAGTGCAAGTAGAACCTAGCTAAATCTGCCAGTCTATTTCGTATTCATCACAGAATCGGGAAATATCTAAATAACTATAATTTTTGTCCTTTAAATCTTTATTTTGAAAATTTATTTCCGCGTCGAAGTCGGAACTTTGATGACTACGGGGTCGGGGTATACACTTATTTTACGAAACCAAAAGTAGTTTTTTTATGGAATGCCGTACGTCACATATTACGTCATGATGCGGCTGAGAAAGCAGACAAGAAAGAGCAGAGTAAATTCAACTGCATATTTTCTGTAAGTTTGTCATATTTTTATCATCTCCTTTATCACCAGATAAATGTAATATAATTTATTGGCAATATACATGTATGCTGACAGCTTAATAAATAGATATGTTGAAATAAGATGGACCTGGCACAGGCACTCTTTGCCTGTTGCACCTGGGTCTGGTGTAAACCTCACCAAGCAATATACAGCACTGTAAAGTTATACATGTATATTAGGATATACCTAATTTTTTTTTTAATCAGACTGTAAGTCAATCATTTTGTTCTAAAAATAGATACATAATGGATGGGTGGCCTGGAAAAAAGTGGGGTGGGTCTTTAATTTATCCTTCTCCTAGCTATAGCTCCCATCCCTTCAACTCTACTATTTTGAATTTCCTTTATATTCCTCTGTCTGACTCCGACCTTCCCTATTTCTTCCTCTCCAAACTCTGCTTTACACCTCACATTCACCCATCACCACCAATCAAAACATTAATTTGTAAATGTACATGTATAATCACAAAGAGGTTACTCTCTCTCTCTATATAGAACCATGATATTTATATGATTACTACAATGTACTAATGACATGCACAGTGGGGGCACATCTGTTTAGATACACTGTAGTTCATGTTCACTAGTTTGCAAATAGTAAATGAGTTGTGTCCCTTTGTGGGGTCTTTTTTTCTTCCTATGTGGTACAATCCGCTATAATCACTTAACCAAAAGGTCAAGACTTAAAGAGTGAAAAGAATAATGTTTTCTTTGATCTTTTTGCCACCAGGGCAGGCATTGGGGTGTGCTGTGATAAATTCAGTGTTTTAAAAACACTAGGAGGTTAATTATAAATGGGGATAGATATAAAAAATGTTTATAATTCATCGAGTTTGAAGTTTGACGCTCTGTTTGCAATATTAATAAAAGCGGTAAATGTAATATAGCTAATAAATCAATTGGTTTCTGATTGAGCTAGAGATAAAAAGTATTTATTTAGGAGCACTAATGCCACTGTAAACATATCTATGCATTTTAAATTGAAAATACAACAGAACTCAGTTCTCATAAAAAGAGGTAAATCTCAGTTGTTTTAGGAGTTAAACTTTTATGCATTCCAAAATACATGCAGATATATAAAGAAGCTTGATTATAAGACAGCAAGTCCAAGTAACTTCCCTGTAAATGAGTTGTACTGTATATTCTATTTTGTGTTTACTTATAAATGACATGTTTGAGAAATGTTTACTAAAATGTTGTATTCTTATCTTGCAGGTATTTGCTAGAAAATGAGCAGAAGGTCCCCCACTATACCACACTGATAGCTTCTCAAAGATTATACATATATGTTACATGCAAACAGGTAAAAAAAATCTAGAATAAAATATTTATTGCAAAGGTATACATCAATATATATAAATAATGTTGTTATTTATATGATCAAGTGGCTGACATACTTTTCCCCCCATCTTATTTTTGCAACCTGTCTGCTTTTCTGCGACTACTCCATGCTGCTTTTCCATGATTGGTTTTAAGCTCACCTGAGCCAAAGGCTCAAGGGAGCTTCTCTGATCAAAATTTGTCTGTCGTCTGTCATTGTTGTCATAAACTTTTCACGACACATTTTCATCTTCTTCTCCACCACTGGGCCAATTTCAACCAAACTTAATACAGAGTATCCTTTATGGTAAAGGGGTTTCAAATTTGTTCAAATGAAGGGCCATACCCTCTTTCCAAGGGGAGATAAGTAAGAAATAGTAAAAATTGGGTGTGGATATTTAAAAATCTTCTTCTCAAGAACCACTGGGTCAGAAAGATGAAACTTATGTGAAAGCTTTCTGACATAATGTAGATTCAAGTTTGTTCAAATCATGACCCCTTGGGATAGGGTGGGGCCACAGTGGGTGATCAAAGTTTTACATAGGAAAACATGAAAAATCTTTAAAATTTCTTCTTTTCAGGAACAGTTAAGCCATGATTGGTGATTTTTATGAAGAAGCATCCTTAAGTAGTGTAGATTCAAGTTTGTTCAAACCATGACCTCCGGGGCTAGGGTGGGATCACAATGAGTGAACAAATTTTTACATAGAAATAAATATACAGTGTATAGAAAAAATCTTTAAAAATCTCCTTCTCAAGAGCAGCAAAGCCATGATTGGTCATATCTATATGAAAGCATTGTCAGGTAGTATAGATTAAAGTTTGTTCAATTCATTACCCCTGGGGGTTGGGAGGGCCTAAATGGGTGATCAAATTTTTATGTTAGGCATACATGTGAAAAATCTTCTTCTCAAGAACAGTTAAGCAGTGATTAGACATATTTATATGGAAGTATCCTTGATAGTTTACATTCAAGGTTGTTCAAATCATGTCCCCTTAGGGGTAGGGAGGGGCCATAATTGGTGATCAAAGTTTAAAATGAGAATACATAGGAGAAATCATTAAAAATCTTCTTCCAAAGAATTGCAAATCCATGATTAGCCATATCAATTCAGAAGCATCCTCAGGTAAGGTTAGGTATATTCATATTTGTTCAAACCATGTCCCCTGGGGGTAGGGTGGGGCCATAATAGAAGATCAAACAGAGAAAAGCAAAAATATAGTTGCAGAAAATCAGGATAAGGCTGCAGAAAAGCAGGATTTTTTTTCCTGTGAATTATTTGAATCAGACTAGCAGAACCATAAGCATTCAGGTTATTTCTGCTTATCTAATTCTTAAATATATTCTGCTAATTTATAGAATAAATGCATAAAAATGCAGTAGTACTAAGGAGATAATTAACCAAATGCTATTGAATTGACAGTATCTGACATTTTTTAATTTTCACTGTAGGCACAGTTAGCATGTCATCACAGCTTCAAATACCAGAGTACCTATATCCTCAGAAGATACATGCAAACAGATTTGTCAATGGTATATGTAAGTAAATACATGTATGATTTTTTTTCTTTCGACAATTTAAATTTGACATTAAGCTGAACATATTTAATTTAATTATTCCATCTAAGCCAGAAGCTTTAGTAAGCTTTTTACTGTCAAAACTTGTCTGTCTGTTGTTGTAAACTTTTGCACTTTCCAGACGTACGTATTACATTCTCTAGAATCACACCTAAATGCCAATTTTAACCATTGCAACTTGGCCAGTTAGCACAACTCATGTTTTGTTTAAGTCTCAGATTAAGGAAATTCAAGTTTTAACAGAAATGTACAGACTAACCATTTTCCAATGGGAGAGCATTTAGGGATAACGAAAACAGTGATGTGGGTATAGTAAAACATTGAATTATCTCAAAAGTCAAGATCACTGGGCCATATATTATTGGTAAAAGCTAAAACTTTTTTGCCCCTACAATGAAGTTATATACTAGCTCCTACAAAGAAGTTGTAAGGGTGTCCTGGAATCACCATGTCTGTTTGTCTGTCTGTAGACATGTTTTGTCTGGAAATTATCTTTTAAACCACTTTATAATAATGCCCTGGTAATCAAAGAGTCGTGGGTATATAAGTTTTTGCCCCGTCCGTCCATATTTCACATGTGTATTTATTGACTAGACCTTCCTTTTGGTACCAACGTATTTGACCTTGACCTTGGAGTTTGACCCACTTTTGTAAAAATTTACCCAACTTTAACCTTGGCCATAACTTTTGAACAGTTGGTGCTAGGGGTTTCAGATTTCACATGTATATTTATCCTGAGAAGACCTTTCCTTGGGTGTAAATATTTTTGACTTTTTGACCTTGACCTTAGAGTTTGACCCACTTTTAAAAAACTTTAACCTTGGCCATAACTTTTGACCCACTTTTAAAAAACTTTAACCTTGGCCATAACTTTTGAATAGTTAGTACTAGGGCTTTCAAGTTTCACAGGTGTATTCCTTGTGACAAGACCTTCCTTTGGATATCAACAATTTTGACCTTGCCCTTGGAGTTTGACCTACTTTTGAAAAACTTTAACCTTGACCATAACTTCTGAACTGTTGGTGCTAGGGCTTTTATATTCTGCATGTATATTTCTTATGACAAGGTCTTCCCCCTGAATACCATTAATTTTGACCCTTTGACCTTGACCTTGGAGTTTGGCCCACTTTTAGAAAACATTAACCTTTACCATAACTGTTGAATGGTTGGTGCTTGGGCATTTTTGATCTCTCAACCTTGAAGTTTGACTTGCATTTGAGAAACTATAACCTTTGCCACAAGCTGCCATATGGGGGCATCAGTGTTTCAGAAACACACCTTGTTTTTCCCTACACTTTGTAATTATATACCATTGAACTAACTGGTAACAGGAATTTACAGACTGATTTGTCAAACTTTTAAAAAGAGGAATAAGAGAATTAAATTCTTACTTGAACATGACTTTGTAACCAAGAAAACAATCTGAGGCTCATAATTGATAGAAAGGTAGCTTGTGTCCAGAGATGAGCCAGTTGACTCAGTACCAAGGGCATTTTAGATATGTTCAAGATCAAAAGGGTACAAATGTATTAAATTATTTTTCAATCACAACTCTTTAATGGAAACACAGTAGACAATCCTGAGACAAAATTTGCTTGTGACTCAAAGTTATATCCCAAGTCTTACATAGGGTAATTTGAACTAGATATGTTTTTAAAAAATAAAATAATCATAACTTTTATGAGGATATATAGTAAATACAAAGGTTGCTTAATTATGACTAGAGGCAGTGAAACAACCCTGCATGTTGGTCATTTAAGCAATGTA